GAAAACATTTTCATTTTGTCAATTTTTTCTGGAGCCTTCCAGAATTGTGGGTGTGTAAGTCTTGCCTTCAAATTCTTTTAAACTTTCCAAGCTGCAATGCCTAAAACCCTAAAGAAAAATTATCCCTACGAATTCTGTAACAGGAAAAAGCCAGAAATGTTTTGAAAAAAAAAGGGGTTAAAAGTGTAAAATTAATTTTATAGAAAAAACTGGTGCATATTCTGAGAAAATTACATGGGGAAAAACTCTTACTATGAAAGAATTAAAAAGAAGACATTTTTAATTAATTACATAGCTAATTTTGCTTTTGTTAAGAGTTGTTTCGTAAATTGTGCTTTATAGCATTATACCTTGTATTTTTTTTCAGATTCAAAATATTGCACAATAAGTTGCCAAAATGAAACTTTATTATATGACAGCGAAAAATGTTTTATTTAAATGTTATTTTTTAAATATAATTATCACTATTATTTTAATAAAATTTATCAATGTTACTATGTTTTAAAAAAAAATTAGCAAAAAATTCTCAGATCTCGGAATTAAAAATTTTCTATAGAAACTGATCTTAAAATGTTGATAAGTAGCCAAATTTAGAACCGTTTAATAAAAGAATTCACATCCCCAAAAGTGAAAATTTGTTAAGAGCTTTTTATTAGAAAAAATGAATTTCAAAATGCTTATATTTCACTTCTTGCATAGAAATTAAAGTGTCTCATCATTTATATTAGAAATAGAAACAAATTCTGATCCATGAACCCATTGAAAAGGTAACCATACATGTCAGTGAATCGCCAAAAATATTCCTCCAAAATGCTAATTCACACTCAAAATGGGAATTGTGAAAAGAGACAGAAATTTCAGATGATTAAAATTAAGGACCTTCTACTGATTTTGGCCAAAATTAAGGACTTTTAATTACAAAAAAAATCAATTGCAAAAAATCTAAGGACTCTTAAGGACCATACGAACCCTGCTCCCAGTTGTTTACTGTGGAATAACAGACAATCAGAAAAGCTACTTAAGTTTTGCATACTAACATGTTTTGCAACAACTATTAACTTAGCAGCAAAATGTCTAGAACAACATACAGACTGGTAGAACAAAAAAGTAGCTTGGATTTAGTAAATTGAATACCTGCTATGACACAATGCCCAAAAGTGTCACAGTCATTCTTTAACATCACACCATTTTGGTCTGTGTGACAGCAGAGAGAAGTAGAGAATGTGAACCACTTTACCACTGAAAACTGCACTGAATAATGAAGTCATTTTTCGGCTGAGTTTGAGGAATCGCACGTCAGGTAGAAGTTAGCAGGGAGTCATTTCCACTACCTGAGTAAAGTCTACATGCTTTAGATGCAGACCAGGCTGACTTACAATGGCATTTAGCAATAATACTATAGTAAAACAGCAAGAGATATCTTTTATTTGGGATGAAAATGTCTCAATACAGCAGTGCCACAGAGAACTGAAATCTTTTCAGTCCTTTTTTTTTTCCAAAACAAAGTCTGCAAAATTATTATTTTTAAATTAATTCATTAAATAATCAGAATCAGAAAAAAAATCAAATAAAATTATGGTAAATAGATTAATATTTATACAGCCCCCTTCTTCTTACAGATTTTAGTTTGGAATCCTAAAAGATTTCAGGTTTTGGGGACATCAATAAATCCTTTATAAACAGTAAAAAGAACAGCAAAGTCTAATTAAAATATCTACAAAATGGAAGAAGTTTTGAACACTATGTAACAGAAACCTAGGAAGGTGGAAGAATCTGAAAACAGAATGGGGGATAGGAAAGGGGGAAAAACAGATGATAAAATTAGTTAGCTGATTATGTTTAAGAATTTCAGCGCTATATCTCATAAACACAAAGCTAGTTTCATGGAAGATTTTCTAAGAGAAATTGGCTCTTATTTGCCATACATAAAGAGATCTTATGCATCACACTCATTTAAGAGTCAGGAAACAAACTGGAATGAATTACATCCCAAGAATCAACTGACCAGCAGTTTACTTTCAAAAGAATTAGATGATGAATCTTTTCTTGCTTTCGGTTTTTAAAAAAATATATTTGCTAAATACAGAGATTTAAAAAAATGTGTGCTTCTGCAAATAAATAATAATTCATCTTTAAAGCATCTTTAAGAACCTCACAATTTTAAAAAAGGAATTTAAAAGCTGATATTATTTTTTTTTTTTTGGAAATCTACATGTAGATGAGTAAACTTCTTAATTTTGATAGACTTTTTTTTTTTTTTTTTTTTGTTGGCACAAATTATGTTGTACCAGAATGACTACATAGTACAGTCAAAAGTCTTTAATCCAGACGTCCATAATCCAGAATGATCTATAATCAGGACCTCAAAGCTACAAACTTTCTGCGCATGCGTAAACACACAATGTGTTTACGCATGTGCATAATATGCACTTAATGTATAACAGACGGTATAAGCTAAGCTAAAATTATCTAATTATCTATTTCAGTTAATGTGGCAGATTGCATTGTTCCTTGATCTTCTAATTGGATCCGGCTTATTATTTTTTGCAGACTGTTAGAGCAATTTTATAAAAGAATGCTTGAACTTTCGATTATGTCAAAAACAATTTTTAAATCTGGAGCTGCCAAAGGATCTACAAAGCAAAAGCATGTTTCGATGTCCATCAAACAAAAAGTGGAATTGCTGCAGAAAATGGATAAAGGCATATCCTTTGTTTCTCTAACCATTCCGAAATCTGTTTATCAATTTCACGCTGCTCTGCGGGGAAGAGGGACATCGTGGCGCGCAATGAACTGGAAGTTCATCTGTCAGCACTATCCTTATCTTCAGGGCAGATGTTTTTATTTTATTCAGTTTATAATTCCTTACTAAATGTAGTATTTCATCTCAATGTACTCCGTCTTTGCTATGATTTAAATCAAATTCCTCGTCATTAAAAATATCACGAATACACATCAAGTAGTTTTCTGGTTGCAATTTTCTAATTTCGACTATGCGTAATGTATGCTTTACGCATGTGCACGTTGAAAGAAATGTTTAATAAAGTAAACAAATAAATATTAAGCTTTCTTTTTGTAAATTTTGATACCCTTTAGATCATAATTGCTCTTTATTACATAAATTACAGTTTCGTATTTTTAATTTTATAATTTCTGCAGGCCATCTTACCAAATTTAAATTGATGATCTATAATCTGGGAAAACCGATAATCCGGAATCGCCGAAGTCCCGACGAGTCCGGATTAAAGACTTTTGACTGTATAATACACTGCTGACCACCCAAATTGCAACACCAAGAAAGACAAGAGATATCACAAAAAAATTTATTTAGTAGATAACATGTTGACCAAGTATTAAATGATTAAATTTATAGACATCTGCGAAGTATGGTTCCTTCCAGAATCAGTAGCCAGACTAGCCGCCATTGTTGGAGATCACCGCTGCCGCACACCTGAGCATTAATTCAAAGAGACTTTGGATGTGTTCTTGGGGTACAGCAGACCAAGCAGCTTCCACATGTTGCCAAAGTTGATCTGGTGTGGCAGCTTGGGATGTAATCTGTGTCACTCATTCAGCAACCATGGAGCACATGTTTTCTATCAGCGAAAGATCCGGAGAGCGAGCCGGCCAGGGAAGCAATTCAATCTGGCGATTGACGAAGAACACTTGGACAATGCGTGCCACGTGTGGTTGCACATTATGCTGTTGAAATATGGTTATGGGCAAGCCCTGAAGGTAAGGAAGGACAACTGGCTCCAACAGCTTGGAGATGTAGCGGTGGCTGTTTAAAGTACCAGCAATGTGTACTAGAGGAGTGCGAGAGTGATATCCAATACCGCCCCATAACATAATACCCGGTGCAGGACAAGTATGGCAGTGCATATCGCAGCTGTTCAGCATCCTCTCTCCACGGTGTCTCCAGACTCGAATCTGGCCATCGTGGTGTTGCAGACAGAAATGTGACTTGTGAATAAAGACAATTTCATTCCATTCTGCTGTCCACATCCTTCTTTATCGCACCATTGGCGGAGACGTCTGTGGTTCTGCGTCAAGGGTAGACGAAGCAATGGACATCTTGCGGACAGACCACTCAGCTGTAAATGGCATCGAATGGTATGTGCAGACACTGGATGATGCATTACAGACTGAATGTGCTGTGCTATGGTTCGTGATGTGACTGAGCGATCTGTGACTGCCATGCGCACAATGTTCTCGTCATCAAGTGAAGTGGTGCACTGAGGTGGATGTGATCGAATATGTCGGTCCGTCGTATCTTCCTACATCCAACGGTCACATATCCGCATTACAGTTATTTGCTTTCGTCCAACACGACTACTGATTTCCCTGAAAGATAATCTTCACTCTCGGTAGGCCACTCTCCTTTCTCTGTCGAACTCGGATACTTGATGAAACGATGATCGCTATTTACTATGAGGCATAATTGTTTTTTTTTTTTTTTTTTTTTTTGAAAAAACCACAAGAAGAACACAACTGCCGAACTTGAAATCGTCGAAAACTCTAAGCCTTAAATAGTCCTTTGAAGTGGCGCCACAGGCGCGTGATGTGCGTCTGTGCTGAAATTCTAATCATTTGCATATCTCACCTCCACTAATGCATATTGTAAATTTCATGTTATTTGCATGCTTCCTTCAGGGTGTTGCATTTACGGTGGCCAGCAGTGTATTTGCCATTAATGTAATAAATTATAAAAGCATAGAAAATAACAAAAGTAGGACAGCATTTCTGAAAGAAAGAAATACAATACATATATGAAGTGATAACTAAAATTTAAAATAATTTATCGCATTAAAATTAAACAACAAAACAATACAAGATAAAGAAGTAATATCCTGGTTTTGATATCAAATTACTTTAGAGCAATGCTGCAAAAAGGGTATAGAATACACTTCTTATTCATATTCTAGCTATGTAACTCCTTATAATAAGATAATGAGAGTAAGTACTTGCTTTAATATAATACATCCTAGAATGTCATATACCTGAGGCAGTTCCATGTATTCAAATGCTGGAACCACAAATGCCGTTTTCAAAGAAAAATCAACATGTTTCAGTGAAGTCAAGAACTTCTGTTGAAAATCAGGGGAAGGCTGAAAATCAGCATCCAGAAGTAGCATATATTTTGTTTTGACTTTTCTAAAAAGTTGAAAATGTCAGATATAATACAGCATAGCAAACCTAAGCAATATTAATTTTACTACTTATAAGGAAGGTTTGCTAATCTTGAACTCTTACTATTGAGGGGAAGAGATGAAAAAAGTTAAATTGCTGTAGATAAGCACAAAAATTACATATAATATAACACTATTTGGGAGTATAATGCAATTTTGTAGTTCTTCAGAATTTAACAAATGCTGATTTACAAGCTACCAGATGACAGCCCTAGAAGGAAAATCAGAATTAATAAAAGAAAATGCGTGCACAATCTTAATGTGTATGCATGAACTTCATTAGTTTATTTACATCTTATTTTACATGATTAGCAGCATATTTGTATTCAGCCAGTGTTTGCTTACACTTAAAGCAGCTGATGCGTAAAAATGCATGATTGTTTTGTTAATACAGAACATTGTTGATCTTGTTTTAATAAATTACATTTATGTTTTTAAGTATTATATTCTTTTCCTTAAAGCATTGACGAAACAAAAACTTATGTCATTTAAATTAAACGTTCAGTTTTACAAGTATGCAAGGACCTACAGGTGCGTGGGGATGACATGAATGAAAAATTCTGCAGCCGGGATTGACAGGTGAGATGTAAATGGAAAGTGTAGTGCCTGTCTTTCAGGACCAGAATGGCATTTAATGTGTTAAAAAAATGATTTAGCGAAAGAAATACAAAACTTCCAGTTTGCACATTAAGTATAGCATATTTTATGTCATCACATAATCTAAAATTTCCATTTTTGTCAGTGGCAGTTGTTTTTTTTTTCATTGTTTATCAGCATCATTTTCTAATATTTTAAATTATTTTTATTTTGGTATAAAATATTAAAACATAAATAGGAAAGTTAAGATATGATCATTTATTATTTTTACTGCATTTAGAGGAATCGTTTAAATCTGCAACTCTTGTAAGGTGTCCAGTTGCTTCTCAAACTTACTGTACATAAGAATCAGCATTTTCTAACCTAAGTAACAGCTAAAAAATTTAATGACTTTTAACCTCTAATGTAGATTTACAAATTTGGTACAATACTCTGGAAGTTGTATCAATAAAGCAGATGAAAATTATTTTCAAAATCAAGGCCAACTGACAGTTAAAGTATATAAATATAATTAACTACAGTGTGTTCAAAAAGTCTCACCATAGTAGTTTATGGCAAAAACATCCAAGTAGGTTACATGGAAACTGTCTTTGGGGCTACAGCATATGTTGAAAATGCTTTCCCTGAGTTCGAAGACATAAGTCAATCCTTCCATACATGTTTGTGAATATCTGAGGAAAATTTGATCAATTCAGTCAACCAATGTTAGATGTGATGGCACATCCTTGTGTTTTTGAATAGTTTCGGACTGATCCTTGTATACAATCTTTTGGCTACCCCCTTAAAAAGAAATCTGGTAGTGAGAAATTGGGCTATCTTGATAGCTATATTTCCTTTGGTATCATTCTGTCACCAAAAATTCATCCAATAGCTGCACTAAATTCACTGCAGTGTGCACCATTTGTAAAAATGTTACACCAAGCTGTAAACATTACTTTAAATCCATTTAGCAAAATGGATTACGATCCATACAGCCTCAACTGCTGATAACCATACATACAAGCATAATAAAATTCATATGTAAGTTCAGAAACAAAGCTTTAATGGGAGGGAAGAAATGATCCTCTGTCATCTTTATTGGAGGTATCACTACTATAATTTGAAAATTATGATAATTACAATAAGACAACTTTCATATTTTTTTCTATTAGCTTAATTTTTAGAAGCCTGTAAGGATGTTTTCTGGCATTAAAAACATTTACACAACAGAAGAATTCAACATATTTAACAAGACAATTTGAAAATTTTCAAACGGAAATAAAATTTCTTGTTTACATATGTAATGCCAAAATTTTAATTTAATGATGAAATTAGAATAATTATGTGCAAAAAAATGAATACATTTTCTTGAAGGCTGGTGGAGCAATTTTTTGAACTAAGTAGACAGTAAGCTCATTTTTCAAATACTTTAATTTAAAGCCAAAGAAATTTAAACTGTAAATGAATAAAATTCTTTGATTTAAAGGCATTTCGTTATTCAACACTTTTACTAATAATGATTTTATATAAAAAAAAATATAAAACAAAAGGAACACAAAATACTAAATTAAATCTATGCAGTAATTTATCAGAATTACCTTATAGCAATATTACGCAATGCATTAATTGGATAATCATCATTAAAAGAATTTCCAAATGCTAATGTAACATGACTAGAGGATAAAAGTTTAAGGTTCTTGAGCTTCTTCTGTATATATAACCTAGAAATGAAACAATAAGCAATCTGAAGTGCTGCATAAACCAAATAAAGCAAACTGAAAGAGATGGTATGATAAAAATATTCTAAGAAACATGAAATAATTAGCTTCTATTCATATATATTTTTCATAAATATTCAATATTCAATCCCACATATCAATATATATTCAATCCCACATATCAATATATATTCAATCCCACATATCAATATATATTCAATCACACATATTTTTCATAAATTTTTTAGTATTTATCTGTTTCAGAATTGAATAGTAGGCAAAAGTAGTTTAAATAAAACACAAAGGTTAGTCATCAAAGTATATCGAATGGGTTTCCAACTTCTGAAATGGCACATATACTTTTATTTACACAAGACATTTATTTCCAGTTTATATACATATTCTTTATCTTAAAATATTTTGCTCCCCTATTATTTTAGTTATTTAAAAATCCTTCTCACAACTTTTACACATTATGAAAATAAATATTACCTGTAAAAAGGAATCAAGCCAATAAATGTTACAGAAAAGATAGAACTAAATGTGCTGTTCTTCAGTCACTTCTCTTCATGGTTTATAAATAATGAAATTCTTAACAAACATTTGTTTTACATACTTTAAAGTCACTAACTTTTACTCTGCTTTCACTAATTAAAATACTTCCTTTGTAAAATGTCACCTTCATAACTCACCAATCCTGATAGATTAGTTATGATACCCAGCGGCCTTTTACAGATGACAGGGTTAATTGAAGTTTAACTTACTAGTCACTAACACAGCATTCACACTAGGTCTAAATGAAGCACAAGTAGTACAAGCCTTTTTTTTTAACCTTCAGCTACCTTTTAACCATTTAAATAAATAAAGATCAGAGAATTTGATAACATGAAGAAAACAAAATATTTTCATTTTTTTCATACTTTTAAGAACTGAAAAATAATGGAACTGCCACTTTACAAAAGATAAACAGTTTTTAGAAACAATATAGGAAGTACTGCACACCTCCCTCCCAGTGAAAACGATATGGAGACATAATTTTATAAATAAGGTAGAAACTCAACAGTTCTTCCATTGTGTGCAGTATCATAGGAATCATTCTCAGGCAAGATTCCCTCTGAAGGTTTGCACTGGAGAGGTAAGCTTGCATCATTCTAGGACATGGAAGTTTCCAATGAGTTCTCTGTGTTTTCATTTAGAATAAAACATGGTTTTAGTCTATCAACTGATATTTTGACAGTTCCATTAATTTCTATATAGAAATATTTTGGCACTTGTTGTTTAATAACAAAAGGACCAAAATAAGCTGGTTATAAATATAAAGTGACCACATTATTTGAACATGAAAACGTGAGCAATTTGGCTTTATTGCCATGAGTTAGAATCATTATTATTGTTAGTTATTGTCATAGAAGGTTTCATGCCACATATGATACTTTGTAGCCTTTGAACAAAATCTGAATGTGTGACATTATAAAACTTTGTAACAAACTCTCCAAGCAAATGGGGTGGAGGGAACTTCCATAAAGGAGCTAAGCTCAAAAGTATCCTTATCTTCTTTCACAGCAATGCATAATACAGGAGGAACAAATAGTAAATCATCTACCCAAGATTTGTTTTGCTGCAAATGGCACTTCAAGCTAGCTTTTATAGTTCTGTGCTGCTGCTCAATTAATCCACTCAATTGTGGATGGTATGGAATAGTCCTAGTGGTCTTAAAACCAAAATAATTACCCAAAGATAAGAAAAATTGACTTTTAAACTATCATCCTTGGTCAAGAAGTAATACAATGTGGACTAAATTGCATATCCAGGTTGAAATTATGCCCTTTGCAATTGTTTCTGTTGACTGATCTGTTATAGGTAGTGCTTCAACCCATCTTGAAAAATGATCAATCATTGTTAGCAAATATTTGAAGCCTCGGCATGTAGGTAAGGATTCAATAATATCAATGTGGACGTGTTGAAAATGTTCAGGTTGAATTTTTATGTTCAGTAAAGCTAAATGATTATGTCTTTGGATGGTAGGCATTCCAGATACGACCAACACCATAACTGATATCTCCATTCATATCTGGCTAAATCTTTGCATGATTAGATTTCTGGTGCTTCTAATCCCTGGATGTGATAGGGTATGAACAGATGAAAATATTTGTTGATGGAATGCATGGGCAGTTCCCATTGGTGGAAACATCAGAAGAGATGGATTTCTTGGTGCCAGAAATGAGAATCTGAAACATTTTCAGCCTTATAAAAATGAAAATAAATAAATAAAAAGAATGCCTTAACATGACATAAGGGACCAAATTCTGTGAATAATACTCTCTGTTCTTAGTTTCATACAAGCAATCACCATGCTGAAATTGTTTTTTACTTGCAATTCACTGTTTGGAATTTATCATGATCAAAGCAGAAAATGCATTTTCATGCAAATAAAAGAAAGGAAACTTCAATGGGTAAAGAGCACTGCACTTTTCTTAATTTTTTAAAAAATTTTCAATGACAACAATTCCTAGTAGCTTATTTAAATTGATTCATCAAAGTATTTTCTGTAGTGACAGCTAAAATTTGCATTATAATTACAAATTTATTCACATAGTTTTAACTGTAGAGATTTCAATTAACTTTTCTTTTTTTAGCCGATTTAAGAAGGAATTAACACCAGACAAAAATGAATCATAAGATCAGAAATCAGAAAAAGGTAAATTTTGGTGCTTATGTTCAGATCTAAAGAATGAATGCATCATGTCTAATCTTACCTCTCTGACTTTATATATAGATATAAAAGAACTAGAAAAGATTCAACTGAAGTTTCCTACTCAGGATTGCATATCATAGCTATAATAAATAACATTTTGGTTGACATAGTGTAATTACTAAGAATTAGCACAGACAATATGAGAAATATAATATTTAAGTTCCTCAACCATTTACATTAGCTACAAAACAATCTCTATGAAATATTAATTGAAGTGACAGTCACATGGCCATTTTATGCAGATATGCACAATTCAGTGCAGGAGATTAGAAAATTTTAGAAAGACCAATTAGTGATCGATGAGGACAATTTCATACACCAGCAGAAGTGTGTGCAGTGGATAACAGTATTTTTATATTAATTATACATTATGTAATCATATTTATACATTCAAGAAATTTACACATATTGCATGACTGAGTGTAGTGATAAAAACTTGAACAGGAAGCTTGCAATAAACTACCCACTTTATTTTGACATACTCTTTCATGAGTATGATAGAAAATAGTCAATGTGCCACTATTGTGACTCATGAACTCCATATTCTAAAAAATAAACTTCAGGCTTGACTAATTTCAGTACTGAGAATAGAGTTTTATGCTATACAATCCCAGTGCACCTAATATTAGGAATGAAAGAAGACGTGCCTACATTGAAAACGGATAAAAGTATAACAAACTTAAAATGCTGTGAAGTGAAAAATGTACAATTCATAGAACACAAAATACCATACGAAATTCAGAACAAATATTGGAAGTATGTATACTAATATACAATACTGTCATGTGATAATCTATAGCTTTTAGATATTCTTTAAAGAATCTTCTGATAAAGATGACGGTAACTTTTCAAAATTAGTAGAAACTATCGCTAAATTCGATTTGATAATGAATGAATATCATATACAGATATTACAAAAGAATGTTGCTCTTTATACAGATGAAGAATGCAAAATATCATTTTACTATATTTATTATGGCATAAAATAAAAGATTTCAGAAATGGTTGAACATCTGAAATGCTGCTAATTTAAAAAGGTCAAAATAATTTAATTCATGTTACTGTCCTGGATTGGAATTTCTTAGTTTTCCTCAGTTCATGAGAAACTATAAACTACTTTTTATTAAATACTATCATTCCCCTCCCCCCATCTTGGTGTGAATGCTCTCATAAATGAATCCTTTTAAACCCGTAACAGGGGACGTGCGGTCTGACGGACCGCGCCACATGTTCCTCCCATCACCCCTATTGCATGCTTTTTGTCCAAGTGAATGGATTTTCCCCTAGCTTCACGCTTCGTGACCTTCTTTCTGACCCCTTCTTATCGGAATGCTTTGGCAAGTGTATCTGTTGAAATTCTTCTAGAGCAGTCTGCGAGACCTCATCTCCCTCTCAGTGTTACAATTTTTGGCAGTAGTGAACACATGGCTCTGAAGTTAGGTCAGCGGAGATTCATTTATCCTTCTGATCCACGTTATGCAGAAGAACTGAAAAAAATTCCAGACGAAGTTGGAAGTGATTTTAGTGAAGAAGATGACTGTGAAGAAAATTTCTGCGAAAAAAAGGCGAGCAGTGGTTTTGATATCATAATAGCATCATTCGATAGAAACAGACTCGGAAACACAGAAACCTGAAATAATTGGTTTTTATAACAGAACCAAAGGTGGTGTTGATGCTTTAGATGAAAAATGTTCTGTCCATTCCTGTAGTAGGAGAACAACGCGTTGGCCTATGGCTCTTTTTCTACCGGTTAGTAGATATGAGTACAGTAAACGCATGCATTTTGCACCAAGGTTATAACCAAACCCTGTTATGACCAGAATGGTGCTTTTTGAAAGAACTTAGCGAGAGAATTAAGTCCAACCACTACTACACCCAAGAGGGAAAAAATCCAAGAAGAAATCAAGAATTGCGCCTGACGATAAAGCGGATTTTAGGAAAAGAAGCTGAGTCTAAGGATGTGAAGCAGTGCACAAAAGAAGCTGAGTCTAAGGATGTGAAGCAGTGCACAAAAGAAGCAAAATTAAAATCAAGGAAAACATGTCGTCTGTGCCCCCCAAGCAAGAAAAGAAAGACCAGCATATTTATGTTTATCTTTCCAAGACCCTGTTTGTTTGGAATGCAAGCAAAAAGTTATGCAATGAATATGCTTAAAGAAGACGAAAACTAAATTGTTTACCATCAGAAAATCAGTGAGATACTGTTATTTTAGGTACTGTCAAAATTTTTCTGTATTGTGCTACATACAATTTTCTGCGGTTAAAATTTGCTTTGAATATTAACTAATATAGATAAAATAGTTAATTCAAAATAGATGCATTCTTATTTTTAGTTTTATACAATTTAGTGCAGCATATGATTTTCATCGAAAAATTTGAGGCTATGGGGAAATTTTCTGCGAAAACTTTAATTTCACTTTAAAGTGTAAAAACATATTTTCTTTTCAGAGTAAAATGTTCAAAGAACATCTAAGTGAAATATCATGATGATATTTTAATTAGACGATTTTTAAAAATTTATTATAATGCGCGGTCTCTGAGACCGCACGTCCCCTGTTATGTTTAACTTTTTCACCTCCCCTGTTACGGGTTAAACAAAACTGTCTTCAAGTTTTAAATAAAAATTTCTAACTCGTTCTAAAAATTTTGACTTTTCAGTTTTCTGAAAAAACTTTTAAAATATCAGATTTCAACTTTACTACATAACAACTGTCTACGAATTATCATTTTTCTACTTTGTCAAGCGATTGATTAAGAGTTACAATGAGGATTTTGATTCAGTATCTACCTTTACTATGCACAATGAATTCTTTCTGATTTACATCTGAAGGAAACTGTCACTCACACTTATGAATTTTGTTTACTTTGTACAATAGCTTTAAAAAAGACCTTTGCAGCAAAAATAATACAATACAAAGTTCAAGATTCAGAATTGTTGGCACTTTAATGATTTCAGATTTTGAAAATTTCCAAATTTTAGATCACAAATTTAAATTTTATACAAGTCAAAAACACGAAACATGTGTTTATGAAATGATGAAGAATTTACGACCTTAAGAAATCAAAATTCACGCAGCAAAATTCAATATTTATTTGTTTCATTAAACATTTTTTGGATGTAAATTGTTTAATTTAATTTCAGTTTTGTGCTAATAATTTCTATTTAATTTTAAAGACACGCATAATTTCTTTTTCAGTTACAAAGTTCCATTGTTTGTCCTGTTCCTCCCATGTTGAGAATTCCCACTAAACTGTAAATGAAAACCTTTACATTCTCAGAAATTCGTATCTCACTTTCTTCACTATCAGTAGGGATATTTTCTAAATTTAAAATCATATTACAGATTTCACCTTCCTTAATTTATTACTGACTGAAGCATTGTCATCAAAATGGAAAATGTTTGTTATATCATCTTCATTTAATATCAGTTTTCCACATTTCTTCATAAATTCTATTAATTGGAAAATTTCACCTTCAATGGCATTCATATGTGGAAAAAAGGCTGTTGTTTTATCTAATTTTGAAATCACCCTTATTAAGGAATGAATTGTACCAATGCTGTTCAATGTCACCAATGCTGGCAAGTACCAAATATGCTTTGCATATCCTGCTACGACTCTCGAATTAGAAACTCTTTTCAACATAATTGAAAATTAAAACTTTAAAAATTCAGAAATTTGATAAGACAGCTGTAATAATAATAGCCTGCAAACAACAATAAGCTGGATCAAATTAGAAAGTTAAGGAAGACCACAATTTGGTATGCTAACTGAGAGCATAAGATCCTCAAAAATTTTCCCCCTTTTTTTTGCTGCTATGCCAACAAAAGAAAACCAGTATAAGGAACAACCCACTCCAAACAAATGTGGTTAATCAGATAGAAACATGCAACTTGCTCCTCCCACAATTACTCAAGGGATGGAAACGTAATCCCGGACAAGGTTCTTTAATATACTAAGGTTAGGCCAGGAATGGAAAAAGCGTGCCATTGGTTGCTGGTAGTGACGTCACCCGAGTGAGCCTGAGTGTCAGCCATGAGTGACAAGATACATCGGCCGACGCATCTGCTGCATGATTTCAGTAATGGAAAAAATGTAAACTAAAGCAAAATGATCATTTTATATGTAGTATATATGTATAATCACATACTTGGAAATATTGGGTATATACTTTCCGATTAAGTATTTTGTCAAAGCCAAATGTTTATTTTATATTCAGAATTCGTACGAATGCTAAAATAATTGTAAACATTAAATTCCTTTTCTTAAAGGAAAGCATTAGAAAATGAAAAACAATATTTAAGTTAATTAAGGGAAATAAATATTGTAAATCAAGGTGTTTTTCAATGTTTTTTCGTAGTATTGTTTGCACTAAATAAATCTTGCTGAATAGAACACATGATGGCATAACTGCTAAGACCATGGTAAAAACATAATCAAAAAGTATTATTCTATTTATTTTCATTGCTCATGCACTTTTTTTAATACAAATGAACTTTGACATTTCATGAGAAATATATGATCGTGATTTTCAGTTTAAATTACATAGCTCAAGCAAAAATATATATAAAAAGATTTGACTTAACAAATTCATATTTAAATACCATATAATTCTACAAATTTCTGAATATCCGTCATTATACTTTTAAATAGTATACTTATCACATTCTTTTTAAAGTGAAAAGTCACTTCATACTGATTCACTTCAGATTTTAACAGAAGTGCGTATATTTTCAGTATAATCTAAAAGTACTCTTATAATCCCTTACACTCCCAAGATTTCTATATAACATTTATCCTGACGTGATTATTTGCTATAGTAAATAATCTTCGATATTGGCATCCTATTCTTCCTTCCATACATTAAAAATGGAACAATTAAAATACATTTTCTTACACATATATGCACAATAATAATAATAATAAACTTGCCCTACATCTTAGTTTCGGCCCACCAGCGGCCGAGCGGTAAAGTCGCCGAACACTGGTAGTTCGGTCCGAATCCCGTGAACGGGCTGGCAGCATGGGTGTTTTTGTGGTTTTCCTCATGTGTAACGTGTATACGAGCCAGTTTCCCTGAGAAAGTCCTCCATGAAGGCATCACACCTATTACGCAGATAGCCCTAGTGTGCTTTGCCATAATTAAATACACCACCACATCTTAAATTCAATTCAGCCTGTACACAAATTAAATATTTTTAATTACTAATGTATTTTTATCAGGTTGTCTCTTAAAATAATTTGTTATACTCGAATATGTGTTCAATATTGAATTATTTTTCTTTCTCTTATAATTAAAAACAAGTTATATGGAATCAAAAATTAAAAATATGCAGCAGTTAAATAACACTGAACAGAATATCTTACTTACTCTTTCGCTATTTGTATTCTAGCATTATACACAGATTTTTTTTTTTTTCCTTCAGGTTCAAGCATGTGTAAGTTATATCAATTAAATTACATCACACATACCCGTATGCATCAGTTAAATAACACTGAAGGAAATATGTCACTCACTCATTCGATGTTTGCATCATAGTGTGGTCGAGAAATTGTTTCTTTCCTCACGGTGGAGGCATGTATCAGTTTACTTAGTTCGCAAAGCTTAACCCAGACGCTGCTTCAATACATAGAATTAAAGTTTTGGGATGTAAAGAAAGTAACCAAAACATGTGAATGAAGTTGGATATGCGAATTTATTAACTAATCATTCAGGTACTCAGTATTGGTAAACATGACACTGAGTTTAAATATCTCACTATGATGTAAGTCTCATACACAAAAATGAATATTATGATAAAAAATGATTTAAAATGAGAAATTATTCAATTTAAATGTAAAATAGCAGTAAAATGAAAAATAAATGTAAAATTACATCACAGTCATGTATGAAAACTACATAAATTCATTAAAAAAATAGTTATTTTATCTGGTTGTAAAGAGTGTTTTCCGCCAAAAAACGTATTAACGTGTATGATTCTGACACAACGCTATAGCACAATTTGCCACTTTCACCTAGGTATAATAGCAAATTAACAACACAAATCAAATCAAACTGTTGATGCAACGAAAGTAAACAAACGCCAAGAACTAACGCTGTCACCCACATGACGTCATGCATATGTGGCATAACTTTCTCCCTGCACTGCGCATCGCTCTTGGGCCCCTCCTGATCCCGGAGAACATGAACAAGAAACTTTTAAAGAAAAAAAAAAAAAAAAAAAAAAAAAAAGCAAGAAAACAATTACCTTTGCCATTCATATTCCAACTTCTCAGAATGTTTAGTTGCAACATATATCACCAATGATACGGGACCATCCCACATGTGAAGACTGCGTTCAAGAGTTGATAATCTGTCCATGGAAACTTGAGTAACAAGTGTTACTTGATTGAACTGATCCTTTGCACTAAAATCCGATATAAAATGCATAAAAAATTTCAGAATATAATATCAGATGCAATTATGCAAAGCCACCAATAAATATAAAATCTCATACATATTTTTAACAAGTTTGAAAATAATTAGATTTTACAGGATTTAGAATTTAATATACTAATATTATTTCTACATCAACATTTTAGCAAAATTTCAAAAAAACAGTTGATAATTCATCATTATATTACAAGCATGCATATTAAGATGATAGGCATCTTACTGTTGTATGTTAAGGACCTAAAGATCTTAACAAGCCAGATGATGATAATCAGCTAAAGACAGGCTAATGCTACCTCTAGAAAAAAGGGCTAATGCTGAGATTTTAAATGCAGAAGCAACATCACCCATTTTATTAAAAAAAAGAAGAAAAAAAAAAAAAAAAGAAAAGAGAAAAATTGCAGGTTCACTGAGATCAACACTTCACGACTGATGAAAAATATTAGACACATTCAAAATCCTTCAGTGTTCAATAATTAAGATCACTAAGTATTTAAACGTAACAGCACTAAAATCTGTATAAGTTACAGTATGAGTACATAGCTGTACGAATGTTTGATTTAGAGTTAGACAGTCAGTCACAAGAAGAGCATGGCCAATAAAACTTGTCATATTTCTATAATTTGAAATATATATATTAGCAATATTATTGTTCCTATTTAAATATATAGCTTATGAAAATTATGAGTAGTGACTTTGCAAATTTCAGTTTGCTGTTAAATAAAAGGAAAATGGACATGCAAGATCTTCAATTTTTAATGATTAATTATCTTGGAAAAAATTCCAACAATTCTGCTCACCGGAAATATGCATTTTTTTCTTTTCCCCTTTTTAAAGCTGAAATATTTTACACAGACAATTAAAAAAATTTGAAAATAACAATACTTGGCAATAGCATAATTTCACAACTTTTCAAAATGCTGTGTTGCCAGCCCACATAGAGGAAAAATAAAATAATAAAGGAGCATATGAGAAGCAAAGCAATAAGTATTCTTATCATTAATATGTACTAATTTGTAGATTATATAAAAAGCTAAATAGAATAGAAGAAAATTTATTTTGGATAAATGGAGGTAGACTGAGGAAATTATGAAAAGTCTATTATTGCAGAAATATGCCTTATATTTCATACATGTTCATTAGATACAAATAATACACATTTCAAATGTAAATCCCTATTCTGGCTATGGATTGGCTGTGCAGAACAAAAACAGGTGCGGTCAGAAACAGAAACAGTTTGTCAACCCAACACAAATATGACTATGACAAATCTTTAATTTTCTGTATATATAAGAAGTGATTAAGAAGCAATGAATGATTAATATAAATAAAACTAAAACAATTTGATGGTTTAGCTTTACAGCTTAGATTACAAAACTGGAGAACATCCAAAAATATTTTCATTGAGCTTTGAAGTAACAAGTGCTAGTTTACCTTAAGGTACTAATACTAAAAGTAGCAGATTCTATTTATATAGAGATATTGCATGTTGATTAAAAACAAAATGAGCATACTAATGTTAAAACAATGCTATATATAAATCTAATATATATCCTAAGTCGCATTTTTTGAGACATGAAAAACGCAATTTGAATTTTGTTAATCGGCCCAGTAGAACAGGAGATATAGAACTCTTCATTTTTTTCCTTTTCGCAGTGTACGTCATATATGCCGTGGCTTTATATCACGACATTTCTTTAGTTTAATCTTCATTGCATGCAAAGCATAGGAAAGAGTTTCTAATCTCCTTTACTTGTTAACATTATTTGTAAAAATTAACTTGGAGAGAAAAAAGTTTTTTCGTCTTAAGATCATAGTTGATTGATTCTAAAACAAAATGGAAGATCTAATTACGAATGCTATCCTCTATCTTTTTCAATTTTCTGTTATTCATAACATTACAACTGCCCTCATAACTTACATACTTACTCATATTACAACTTCCCTCATAACCAGGAAGAACTGATATCTGTCAAGAATGCTGTTGTGCTCTTGTTCATTTTACATGGAACAATGGTTGCCATAGCCTACTCCGAAGAGAGGTTGGACTTCTTTCTCCACCCCCAATTTTGAGGAAGATCCTTTCCTTCTTCCCAGTTTTTCTGTTGAAAATTTTGTTATGTTAGCACAAAGCCCGAAGATGAGGAAAGGAAAAACTTTGACCTATGTTTTGCAATCTGAACACAATACCAGATTCTAAAGAGATGACATTATATTTTTGCTATAATATGAACTGAGAATTATACTATGTTTATTACTCATTGCATCCTCTTCTTAGGGCAGTGATCTCCCTTACAAGCAGTGATAACACACACTCGGTGTCCCCCTAGGAATACTCGTAATATCAAAATTTACTATTTTTAGGAGAGCCAGCTATGGCCATGAACTAGCTGTATATAGTATTTTCAACCAGTCACATTCCTCTGGCCATAATTTCAGCACAAAGTACTATGCCCCCACACACATATGTACAACACACATTTAAATTGTTTTTTAATTATTAATAGTGTAATGTAAAATTCTATCTACTACATTTATAAGAACTAACTCATAGGTATAAGTTATTAGTCTTAATTTGGATTTTAATTTCTGTATATATTTTTTACTTATTTCACTTACATAATATAAACAATTTTATGGCCATAAATTGCAAACAGAAACTTTACAATGCTAAAAGCTAGTTACCTTGTACAAGGAACAGAGGTTTTCGTGTGCAACTGTACTTAAGCATCCCACAGCCATCAGCAAGTACTTAATACTGATTAACTTGAATGTCCTGCCAAATTTTTCATCAAAGTTTACTTTATTATTACAGGGGGGTCCCTCAACTTTTGCACATAAATAGTTCCTAAAAGTGTGTGCAAATGCTGAATTGTTCATAAGTAGAGAGATGTAAAAAAATATGCACCAAAAAACTATGTTTATCTATCACATAATGAATAAACTATCTATCACATAATGAAGTTAACGAGGCATGTTTAAGTGCTTGCAGGTATTTTGTTTATAAACTTGGCAAGAGTTAGTTGAATACCATCTTATTTTTTTCCATTTCTTGATCAAGATTTCTGTAACATGCTGTATCTATTTCAATCACCCTATGCACCTGAGATATATCTATTCTCCACTGGGTTCACATTCTTCCATGATAGTCAAAAATTTGTCAAGACACATGAAGGCTTCATTCATATTTTTAATTGTCAAAGTCTAGACATTTTTAATCAGCTTCTTCTTTCTCACTTCCATTGTGTATTTCATTGTTGCTCAACTAAGTATTTAACAGAGGTACCGAGTGAAATTCAATCACTTTGTTAACATATTCGTTGTTGAAGTCCAGTTTAGTTCATTCATCATGCTAAGTATTTCATTCGTTTTAGCTTTCAGTGTTTCTTCAAAATTTATAAAATCACTCATCATTTCTGGGCATAATTGTTTCCAGAAACCTTATTATTGTCAACTCATAATTATATTTATGAGTTGACATATTTATTTATATTATTTCAACTTATAAGTCTTCAATATCATTCACTGTGTTCCACATTAGCCCATCTTAGTTGCCTTGATAGCTTTAGTGATTATTGTGCTCATAGTTTGGCTCATGGGCTGAATGAGGCAGGTAGTATTGGCAGGAAGAAAAGTAACATTGATTTCTGGGTATAAATTCTGCAGAGATTTTGGGTGTATTGGAGTATTGTCTACTATTAATAATGCTTTAAATTGTAAATTATTATTTTTACGATATTGCTTAACTATTGGCATGAAATGAAAAGTGAACCAATCTTTAAATATAAAAGCAGTAACACAGGCATTTTTATTTGATTTCCAAATGTTTGGAAGCAATTCTTTATCTTTTCCTTTCAATGTTCTGGGATTTTCAGCTTGGTAGACTAACAATGGCTTCAGTTTTAAATCACCAGCTAAGTTTTCACCAAGAAGCGATGTCAATTGGTTTTTGGGAAGTTTTATACCCAGGAACAATTGAAATTGAGTCTTACTTTGATAAAAGTGTATGATTAGGCATTTTTTTTTCAAAATAAACCCATCTCATCTATATTGAATATTTGATTAGGAGAATATTCATCATCTAGAATAATTTTAGACAATGAGGAAATAAATTCTTTTGAAACATCTGTACCTACATCAGCCAATTCTTCACTAAATTTAATATTATGTACAGAATATCTCATTTTAAACTTGTTGAACCAGCCATTATTTGCTTGAAACACTAAGTTTGAATCAGCGTTTAATCTAGTCTTCCAGTCTTCAAGCAAACTATGAGCCTTAGCTTGAATAATTGAAAATCTCAGAGACATATTTGATGCTGATTGATGATAAAGATATTTTTATTTCATTCGTCATAATGCTGTGTTGCTAGGAAACAATCTTTGATGATATATTTCCACAATTTTGAATATATTCCTTAATTTTACTCAATTTTTCAAAGCTGAACATATTTCATCTTTGTCTCAATCATATGAAGACTTAATTTTTTCCTCTTATCAACACAGCAGTTTCTCCACTTCTCACTGATGTTTATCAATTTATAAGGACGAAATATTTAAACATAAACAAATAAATTGGCAAAACACATAACACAATAATGCATGCCCTAATGCAAGACTGAAACTGCTTTAACCACTTAAGAGTTCCGAGAAGTTCGCTAATGTAAGAAGTAATGTGTATCTGTGACGTATGCTATCCCACCCCTACCCATCATTACAGCCATTGCCTCCTGCAGATGAGATTAAGGTTTAAAAAAAAAGTAGAAATGTGAGAGCTGAAAACAGTTTACATTCAAGAAATTGTTTTCATTATCAACAAAAACTTTTAAAAAATTGAATTTTTAAAAATGTATGAAATAGCAAATTGTGCAAAAGTAGAATGTACGCAAGTCAAGGGCCATCTGTACACTGTATTGTATTTTGTTACTTTCTGTGAATTAATTTCTAAAGTTAATTTTACATTGCTTTGCAATAA